AACAAAACAAAAGTTGTTATTAGTTCTCTATTGCTTCTTCAGAAACTCCAACGGTTCTTCACTTCAGATGCTTTTCATGCTTCTGTTTTGTTTTCCATGTATAGCTTCCTGTTCCTTTCTCTATTTCACACATATCTGAGGAATTCTCACACTCAAGTTAGTAAGAGAGGGTTAGAACATATCAAACTTGCATCATTTTATATTAAACTCCGAAAGAATAAAGCTAAGAAAACAGACAAAGTAACCTGACACACCGCTGAGTTCTGTCAAGCAATTATTATTACAGCAATGGATACATTGGGGATCGCTCCACCAACACGCACACCGAGAAGCAGCAACTACACATTTAAAGGCAGAGCATATACATATTCACTACATTCCAAGGACGTGGGCAAAAATTCCAAGAAATAATTAACATCTCTGCTGGTCGTGGGATGAAGGATGAAGTCATTCTTATTGTAAATTCCCAGCCTTTTAAGGGAGGGGGCAGCCCAAAGCTGTTCATTATTCAGGAAGCACAAAATGCTCAACTATAGGGCGTTTCAGTCAGAACTGGATAACGTGAGGTGATACAAAATATCCTACCAAGAAAAGATCTCAGTCAACACAATCCAGACAATACTGGGTATGTGAATTCACTGCATCTTTCAGAAGGGCTCCTTAGTGAATATCACTAAATAAATCATGTCTATAAATAGGCAGAAAACTCTTATTGTGGCCTGAATTACGTATAAAAGAAAGGAATCAACACAAATAAAATAGAAAACAGAGGCTGATTTAAACACCGCTTCCAGCAGAGGGCAAGATCCTATTCTGTAGGACCTGACCCGATATCTAAACTCTTCAGCACAACTATAAGAGCAACCGGAGGGAACACCTCACTCGCCATGCGGCGTTATCTACCATTTCTCCATCGCCAGCCTGACTGCTGATTGCCTCTACAACCGGCTACTGCTACTGCAGCACCGAGCACCCTGCCCAGACTCTGCGATGCGGCTCGGCGCCCTTGAGCTGAACTCACCGAGCAGAGAGGGAGCCGCTCCTCCGAGCCACCGGGGAGAAGAGCCCGGGGGAGCCGGTCGCCGCCACCATGGCCAGGTTCTTCCTGCTGCTCGGTCGGGACAGGGGGCTCGGAGCGGCGCTGCCGAGGGCCCAGCGAGCAGAGCCGCCCGGAGTCCGCGGCGAAGCGGGAGCCGAGGGGAACATGGCTGGAGGAACGGAGGCAGATCGGACGCTCCCGCGTGGCGCCCCTGAATGACGTTTCAGCGGCGCCGGCGCCGACGTATGACGTCACTGTTCTGCGCCCGGCTGGGCGGGAAGGGAGCCCCTGCGCTGCAGTCGGGGAAACCCCGGGGGCAGCCGATCGCTCTCTGAGGTTTCCCGCGTGCGTTTCCAGAAAGTTGATGGCGATCGACTGAGGGAACAAGTTGGGCTGTGTGTGGGTGGTCAGAGGAGATAATCAATTAAAATGAACCGAATGAATAAATAAACATTCACAAAGTACCCATCGTTCTTTCCCACCGCGGTGTTTGATTAAAGAGAGCATTTAAGCTTGCAGCTGGTGATTTGCCGTTTGATTGAAAAACGGTGTAGCAAATACTGGTTAGGCAGACCAGCTGCAAATAGCTGCCTGCCTGCTTCGGAATGAAATTAGTCTGGAAAGATAGCGGCAGCTCAGATTCCATCATCTGCAGACAAAATTCTCATTGATTGGTTATTTACTGTGAGCAGTTTATAGGAAGCAAACTTAACTGAGTGTGCCCTTGGGCACTGTTCAAAGAAAGGTGTGCGTAGAGGGTCTGCAACATCTTCATGAGAAATGTCGTGAGTTACCCAGCAGGTCACAGTATTAAACTGATTTGTCTCGTAGCATCATGAGTTCAAGATTTCTTAAGCAATGGGCAGCAATTCTCCCAACTCAAATAGTTGGAAACATCGAGCAATGTGGTCTCAACCAGTTCACTCCATACCTTTGCAAAAACTGGATATTCTATTACTCCACTAATAGGAATCCACCACTCCCTTTTCAAAGATAACCAGTATCTTGGTATCAGAAGATTTTAAAAAAAAAAGAATTAACTGCTTGCAACCCAAGTTAAAAGAACTTCAGAGTTGCCAGTCATTCACTGCATTTAAGATAAATAGCTTAACAAGTAGCTTAAGTTACAGCAGGGGAGATTCAGGCTGGACATAAGGAAGTATTACTTTTCAGAAAGGGTGGTCAGGCACTGGAATGGATGCCCAGGGAGGTGGTGGAGTCACCGAGCCTGGGGGTGTTCAAGGAAAGGCTGGATGTTGTGTTGAGGGACATGGTTTAGTGGGAGCTGTTGGTAGTAGGTGAACTGTTGGACTGGATGATCTTTTACGTCTTTTCCAACCTTGGTGATTCTCTGATTCTCTGATTCTAATAAGATTAATGTAAGTAATGTAAAAAGATTAAATTAATTAGTAAAACTAATTTGTCCCTCTCTACTCTGACCTTTTGAAGCCCCATCTGGAGTACTGTGGCCAGATCTGGGGCCCCCAGTACGAGAAAGACAGGGAGCTCTTAGAGAGGGTCAAGAGGAAGACCACTAAGGTGATCAGAATAAAATGCATTAATTAGTAGTAGATTCTGAAAAAAGTATTTGTGTTGCATATTTATCTGTGTGCATGTGAAGTTAATTATTTTTAAATGTTTGGGGATCATTTTCACTTCTTTCCAATACAAAGAGGATATGTTGAGGCCAAAGTAGCACACCAGTGCATGCAGCATAGAAGAGAGGTGGTCTTATATAATGTACTGCAAAGGCACTTTAAAAACTACTAATTGCAAGAAAGTTCTGGCCTAAATCTCCCATGGTGCATCTTAAAGCTGTTACGGCTTGTTCTATTGCTATTTACCTGGGAAAAAAAAAGGCCTGCCTACACCTCACTACTACCTCTGTTGTTGTAGAGAAGAATAAGGTCACTCCAGAGTCTGCTCCAGCCTAAACAATACCTGCTTCCGCCACAGACCTCCCTGGAGACAGCTAGTAGAAAAGGTAGAGAATAGGTTGTGTCCCAGCAGCAGTCAGTGCAAGTGGTTTCATCAGATGATACCCATCTCCTGAACTGAAATTGTTTTTAGGGAAAACAGAGGCGTGCTCAAATCATCTGTAGTCTAGATGTAGTGTGATTAATGATGATGTAACTTTTCATATCTTCAGGCAAATCTGTCCTGCACTTGTTTACAGATTATTTATTCTCTTGCACTATTTAGGGGAAAAGAACAGCTTAACCTATGTCAGCATGCTTACAGGCATTGCATACCTTGGCATTAAGTTTGTTTTCAGTGTACCTTCTTTCAGTACCAAGATGTCGTTCTCCAGGTAATGGCAGTAATCTTCAGAAAGCTTCAAAGATGTTTCTGAAATCAACTGCTTTCTGGAACTATTGGCAAGTTTCTCTTGCATTTTTTCTTCACACTCCTTTTGATTCTGTGCTAATATTTTATAATCTGCCACAGCCTCTAAGCACTGCTTGAGAGCACCCTCTTTCACTCGCAGCTCCTCATTTGCACTTTTTTTGCAGCAGTGACTTTGGGTGTTCCACCTCCAGCTGTGCAGAAAGGTCACACACTGTATGCAATGGAAAAACAATGCTGTCCTGTATTTGTTTTCAGCTTATTTATTCTCTTGCACTAGTTTGAGGAAATGAACATATTGATGTGTTCATAGATTTGCATGCCTTGGAATTAGCCTTGTCCAAATCCTCTTGCATGTATTTTTTTTTTTTTTCAGTGAGTCACTGAAGTGACTTAAGAGCTGGGATTTGCCACTTTCCAAATGGCAGCAGAAAGGGAACAAAACAGAGGCAACTCGAGGGATGGCCTTCCAGGCAGGTAGCTCATAGCTGGTAAATTCTAGAAGCGCCAGATGCCTTTGGGAGCTGCTCTACTTCAGTGTCCACCTGACCTTTTCTTCTGCTTCGTCTGTTTCACGTTTAAAGACATCACACTGCTCTTACCTGGTTGGTCTTCTGCGCATCTTCCAGCTGCTGACAGAATAAATGCATACATTTACATCGGGGAAGGGAAATGTCCCTGCAGAAAAATACAAAGGGCCATCCTCATACAAAGGAAAGACAAAAGGGTGGCTGGCATAGGCAACTCTCTTCTGAGAGGAATGGAGGGCTCTATATGTCAGCCTGACCCTACCCACAGGGAAGTGTGATGCCTCCGTGGGGCCCTGGTTAGGGATATTTCTTGAAGACTCCCAAGTCTGATCTGCCCCTCTTATTACTACCCTTTATTAATAGTTCAGGCCAGCAGTAATGAGGTTACAGGCCTTCTTGGCTACCAGGGCACCCTGCTGGCTCACGGCCAACGTGTTGTCCACCAGGATCCCCAGGTCCTTCTCTGCAGAGCTCCTCTCCAGCAGACAAAGGAGAAAAAAAAAAAAAAAAGTGTTAACTACTTATGGCCAATCCAGCTCAGCCTCCTGACTAATGAGGCAGGGCACTCCCAGGCTGGCACCTTGCGGTGCCAGAAAGGAAAGCAGTTGGGGGGGGGGGTTGGGAAGGGTAGAGAGGTAGTGGATGGGTCTAAAAAAAACCCAGAGCAATGGCAATGATCTGAAGAGGAATGTTAATTTACTAAATCCAACAAAATCAAAATGAGAGAGTATGTCCAAAGCTGAGGCCTTATGCTGTAGGCTGCAGAGGGAACCATGTGCTTCTCTGCTGCAAAACAGAGAGAGAGAGAGAGAGAGTGTTTTTGCATATGGTTATATAAAATGTGATTGTGCAACTGCCATTAGTACATAACATCATTGTTACTTTTTGTGTTACTTTCTTCAACAAATCACAGTAAACATCAAGGTATTGGTATCTATATAATGTGCAACAGTGCTTCCCAAGCTCCATATGCACATTTTTCTTTTAAGCAAATACTCTGTATCACTGTAATTCTGTAAAAACAGGCTACAGAATAATGGGACTAGCTCAGAGTGCTTAGCCTTAGAAGAAAACATTCACAGCAATGGTGAGATGGAGGAACTTTATTGAGAAGCAAAGATTACGCAGTTCTACAAAGAGAAGTGTGGCACAGAAGGGGTTTTCTACCCAGGAAGACGGTTGCTCAAGTTGTCTCAAATCCCTGCACATCATTTGCTGAGCTTGAGTGACTTTCAAAGGTTTTGGTCATGGGGCAGATATTGCCACTGCTTCTCCATCTGTGTTGCAGAGACTGAAACAGGGCAGAAACTGCTGCTGCTACTCCATCTATGTAAGAGTCATTGAATGGGGCACACAGTACTGCTTCTAGTCCATCTGCGTAGGAGAGATTGAGCGGGCAGGATTTGCTCCTGCTACTCCATCTCTGTTTGAGAGGTGGATCGGTGCAGAAGTTGCCACTGCTTCTCCATCCATGTTGGAGAGATTGAGCAGGGTAGAAGTTGCTGCTGCTACTCCATCTGTGTTGGAGTGACTGAGCAGGGCAGAAGTTGTCCCTGCTACTCCATCTGTGTTGGAGAGATCGCGTGTGGCAAAAGTTGCCCCTATTACTCCGTGTTGGAAAGATGGAGTAGGACAGTAATTGTTGTTGTTGTTCCATCTGTGTTGGAGAGATTGATCAGTGCAGAAGTTGCCACTGCTTCTCCATCTGTGTTGGAGAGATCAAGCAGGGCAGAAGTTGCCGCTACTCCTCCATCTCTATTGGAGAGATTGGTTTGTGCAGAAGATGCCGCTGCTGCTCCATCCATGTAGGTGTCATCGAATGAGGCATAAACTTCCACTTCCAGTTCATCTGTGTGAGAGAGATCAAGCAGGGCAGAAGTTGCCCCTGCTACTCCACCCATGTTGAAGTGATTGATCAGGGCTGAAATTGCCACTGCTGCTCCATCAGCTTTTGGAGAGACTGAGTAGAGCAGAGTTGCCCCTGCTATTTCGTCTGTGTTGGGGAGACTGAAAGAGGCAGATGTTGCTGCTGATACTTCATCTGTGCTGTCCTCTGCCTGTTCAAAATAAATAAATACAAATTGTCAACACTTCAGCAAATCATCTCAGAAGAGGGTGTAATGGCATTTTATCAATCCAGAGGACCATCCAGAGGACGTGCATGACTTTAGATTCCAAAGGGACTTGTCCTTGATTTTCCTGATCTGTGCAATCCATGCAGTGCACGCAAGCACTGCAGCTAGAGGGACAGAAGGCACGTTCAGTTGCGTGCACTTCCTATTGCACTCCTATGGGCCCTTTCTTGGCCACGTGTTCCAGACCAGCAAACTGGGAGAGAGCAGCACAGACTTGCTAATAGGTACTTAAACGTTGTTTTCCGGCATGCTTGGTTTACTAGCAAGTTCTTCCCCGAATCAAGGCTGCTATGAAAGACACAGCGAACTTTATTCCCAGAGATGCTGACAGCCCACAGTAGCTCCAGGCAGCCTTTCTTCCTGCTTCCAGCTAATACTGGCCAATGGAGGCAGGGGATAATGAGGATGACCAGAGGGGAAGAAATGACATCTAGAACAGGTGTCCAGTTATTCTGGGAGGCATATATGGGCAGGATGGGCTATGTGCAGGGAGGCCAAATTCACCTGTGGGCTACCATCATCAGGACATGTGCTGATTTTGCCACGGATGTTGGGTAGAACAGCCATGACAAGAGGAGGAATAATGTGTTATTGCGAATAATAATGTATTATTGTAAAATTAACCAACCAAACAACTGACAACAACCACCACCACCACCAAGAAAAGGAGAAAATGTTTTCACTTACTTGTCTTATTTATTTGCAAGGCTTCTTCTAATGTCCTCACCCACCCGGAACAGTTTTTCTGACAAGTCTAGCTCTGTTGCCAGTGTGCTATTTGCCGCAAGCTCTCCTGATGCATGCTTTGGTCTCTCTCCATTTCTGATGTCAGAGCTGCAATTCTCTGCCTCTGTTCCTTTCTAAAGATTGCTTCTCTGGCATTGATCTCCTCTAGCTTGCTTTGAGAAGCTGCCTGCATCGGAAGAAGACAGTGCAACTTGAAGGAACAGGGAGAGGCAGACAGTGCCACATCCATGTGTCCTTGCAGCCAGTTCCCATACCCAATGGAAACAAGATAGCCCTGCTCAGTGAAGGAGCCGTGCTTCATCCCTGCCATCAACACTCAGGGAAGAAGTCAGAAATGACTAAATGTCTTTCCATTATTTTTACCTCAGAAAGAAACATACCTGCTCTTCTGCTGTTTTTACATGAAAGCTGATATTGAGCCACCTCCAACTCTATAAGGAAGGGGATGAGGAAAAGGCTGCCTATTTCTTATGCACCAAGATCACACGACACACACAGAGACACTTTCACACATCTCTCTTCAGCTCTCCAGCTTCCTTACAAGGAAGCCAGAGGCTCTGCACTAACAGAACTAACTGTAAGAACTAAACGTGTAACAGAAAACTCCCAAAAGCAATGAGCGCAGCGACAACTCAACGCGGTGTGGATACAGATAGGCATGGCACATCAGTTTACCAGAGAAAAGAGGCTGGGCTCTTGCTTCAGCCCCATTTCTTTTGGAGCACTTTCTTCGTGCCACCTTCCACTCTGTGACAATGGGATACAGCCCGCTGCAGTGGCCTGTGGGCGATATTGGTGAGCCAGGTCCTGCAGCGCCCGATTTGTCATTTCTAGCTGCAGCGAGTTCTGCCGTTCCATCTCCAGCTGTACGGAAAGTTCAAACACCTGCATGCAGTGGAAAAAAACAATCTCCCTTAATCAGAGAGCTCTAAAATCCCCACAACCTGGGGAACTCATTCACATGTGTGTGTTGATGGAGCCCCTAGCGTAATGCACTAAGGCTGTAACTTTTGCCAAGGAAAAGAGGTGGGTTTTTTGTAAAGCAAGCACGACTTTCTAATCTTTGCTGAGAAGACTGCTGCAGTCTTGACCCTTCTTTCCAGAATGGCTCCAAAGGAAAGGCACTTGACTCCAATGGAATTATGCAACTCCCATGCCTGTGAAGTAATGCTCCCGCCACAGACCTCCCTGGAGACAGCTAGTAGGAGAGGTGGAGAACGGGATGCGTCCCAGTAGCAGTCAGTGCAAATGGTTTGCACAACACCCATCTCCTGAGCTGAAATTGTTTATAGGGGAGGAAAGCAGCAGGTGCTGATATTTTCATCCTGAATTACGGCGGCACCAGCGGGCAGTGGACAAGAAGAGCGGTCCTGTTCTCTGCCGGCGCTTTCACCGCAAACCAGGCTGGCTCCTTTCCTTTTCATTTGCACTCACCTGTGCTAATGTCCTCTCAGCGTGGAGGGAAAACGCGAGAGAGTACTTTTGTTTGTCACCAACTCTACTAACAGGGAACAAAGATCTCATTTTGCTGTTGAGAACTTGCAAACAGAGCTGCTGAACTCAGAGACGCTTTGTGAGGGCATGCCTTGTGGTGTCACAGTACTGCCACAACATCAGGAAAGGCATCAGAACAGCAGCGAGTCTGGAAGGAGGACAAGCTGCTGCACTCTTCCTTCCCTGGATGCTGCTCCCAAGCCACTGCTTTGCCCCTCAGCCTGAAAATGAGCTCCCCGAGAAGCTGCTTGTGTTCTGTGAAGTGACAGGGGAGGAGGCAAGGAGAGTAATGTACTCTATGGACCGAGTAAGAGCTTCCACTGCCCCTCTGCAGCAAGGGATTGCCTCTTACTTGTGGCTGAAAGCAGATGGCTTTGTTGATGTTTCAGATCAGATCATGCTCTGATCAGGAAAGCCATTGCTAACAATGATGTGTCTTTTACTGCTTTCAGGTAAACGCGTCCTGCACTTGTTTTCAGATTATTTCTTCTCTTGTTCATTTCTCCTAAATAGTGCAGCTTAACCTGCGCCAACAGGCATTGCATACCTTGGCATTAGCCTTGTCCAAGCCTTCGTTCAGCATCAAGATGTCGTTCTCCAGGTAACGGCAGTAATCTTCAGAATGCTTCAGAGATGTTTCTGAAGCCGACTGCTTTCTGAAACTGTTGGCAAGTTTCTTCTGCATTTTTTCTTCTCGCCTCTTTTCAAGCTGCAGTGATATTTTATAATCTGCTTCCGCAGCCTCAAGGCGCTGCTGGAGAACAGCCTCCTTTACTCGCAGCTCCTCATTTGCCCTTTTTTGCAGCAGCAACTTTGAGTGCTCCAACTCCAGCTGTGCATAAAGGTCACGCACCTGTACGCAGTGGAAAAACAACAGTGTCTTACGTTTGTTCTCATCTTATTTCTTCTCTTTGACTTGTTGGAGGAAATGAACAGCTTTGCCCCTATTAAGGCGTGTTCACAGATGTTGCATACCTTGGCATTAGCCTTATCCAGATCCTCTTGCAATTTCAAGTTTTCTTTCTTCAGTGAGTCACTTAACTCAGCAGAAGTTTTCCGGAATGCTTCTGCAATCTGCTGCTTTCTAACAGCCGTAGCAAGTTCTTGTTGCAGCTGTCCAACTATTCTCTAGAGAAATGTGTGAAACAAAAGGTAAAAAACTAAAGCCTGCATTTTTACTTCTGCTTACCAGTTCCTATACTTAGATCATATCCTTAAGTGAACCACAAAGGGAAGAAAAGTGGTAGAGGACAATTGCCCAACGATCACTGGGGTGCAGAGCTGGGATTTGCCACTTTCCAAATGGCAGCAGAAAGGGAACAAAACAGAGGCAACTCAAGGAATGGCCTTCCAGGCAGGTAGCTCATAGCTGGTAAATTCTAGAAGCGCCAGATGCCTATGGGAGCTGCTCTACTTCAGTGTCCACCTGACCTTTTTCTTGTACTTTGTTTCACGTTTAAAGACATCACACTGCTCTTACCTGGTTGGTGTTCCGCACATCTTCCAGCTGCTGACGCAGTGAAAGGTTTTCATGCTGGAGCCGGGCCACTTGTTCCTGCAGAACTTCCCACTCTGCAGTTTCTTTTCTTGGTTCACCTTTTGCAAGGCGTGAAGCACAACATTCCTTTGCCTGCCTCTGGGCCTGGGAAAGTGCTCTTTCTGTTGCTTCTAAAAGCAATGCCTCTTTCTTGAGCATTTCTTCCCATTGCTCCAGTGTTGTCTTTTGCCTGTGAGCTCTCCTATTGGATTTCTTCTGCTGCTGATTTAAGGTCCTGTTGCTCTTTTGCAACTCAGGGATGTTCCCAGAGAGGTTTTCCACGCAGGAGAGCTCAAGTTGTGTCTTAAATCGCTGCTTTTTATCATCTGCTAAGCTTGAGTGACTTCCAGAAGTCTCAGTGAGACTGAGCAGGGCAGAAATTTCCACTTCTACTCCATCTTTGTTGGAGAGAATGAATGCGGCAGAAGTTGCCGCTGCCACTCCATCTATGTTGGAGGGATTGAGTGGGGCAGATTTTGCCGCTGCAACTCCACCTGCGCTGCCCTCTGCCTGTTCAAAGTTAAAGAATAGAAATTGTCAACATTTAAGGAAATCAGCTCAAAAGAGGATGCCATGGCAAGCATTTTATAAAACCAGAAGAAGACTGTCACCTGTTTGACTTCATATTCCAAAGGGCCTTCTCCCTGGCTTTCCTGCTCTGTGCAGTCCCTGGGGTGCACGCGAGCACTGCGCCTAGAAAAGACAGAAGGCACGTTCAGTTGCGCACACTGCCTGTCGCACTCCTCACGGCCCTTTCTTGGCCACCCGTTCCAGACTGACAGCAAACTGGGAGAGAGCAGCACACACTTGCTAGTACACACTTAAATGTTGTTTTCCTGTATGCTACGGTATATCGGCAAGGTCTTCCTCAAAGCAAGACTGCTGTGAAAGACACAGCGCGCTTTACTCCCAGGGGTGCTGACAGCCCACAGTAGCCCAGGCAGCCTTTCTTCCTGCTTCCAGTTGATACTGGCCAATGGAGGCAGGAGATGGAGGGGGTGACCAGAGGGGAAGAAATGTCTAGAATGGGTGTCCCGTTATTCTGGAAGGTATATATGCACAGGACGGGCTATGTGCAGGGAGGCCAAATCTGCCTGTGGGTTGAGCTGCCGTCATCAGGACATGTGCTGATTTTGCCAGGCTTTTACGCACCCTATATGCCCTCGAGAACAGAAACTAAGAGGCACAGACCTTCTCCGTGTCATTCTCAATCTCCAGAAAAACTTCTGGATCTTCTCCATGATCCGTTGGGACTGGGCACTACCACCAGCACCACCAGCACCACCACCAACGCTGCCAGTACCAATACCAGCACCAGCACTAGCACCTGCACCTGCAGACACTGTGCTT